TGGATTGAGTGCGGGCTGTGAACCAAAGCATCACAGGTTCGATTCCCAGTCAGGGCACGTGCCTGGGTTGTGGGCCGGGTCCCCAGTGGGGGCCACATGAGAGGCAACCACACATTGATGTTTCTCTCTCTCTCTTTCTCCCTCCCTTCCCAACTCTAAAAATAAATAAATAAAATATTTAAAATAAATAAAATGTAAAAAAATTAAAAAATACAATACTGTAGGGGTTTTAATTTGTCATATATTTGTTTAAGAAAATCAATTTTCTAACAGTTGCATAATACTTGATTTTATCAGCAATGCCTTAGATGAAACATTCTGCTATTTAGGATATTTCCCCACTTATTTCTATTTTAATAATAGTAAGACAGGCATAGGCCAAACAGCTCTTTAGTATCACAGAAGCTCCTCTGGACCAGCCCACTTCACTAGAGTATGCAACCAAGGAAATCCAAGGTAACGCATTTGCTATCCTTGAATCTCTAGTATACAGAACACTCATCCATACCTAGCTCTTCCCCATGTTGGAGTGATATAATTTGTTTCTCCTCCCCAGATTTATTTCTTCTTGTGAACTTCATTTTTGGTTTCTGATCATTTGACTTCTCCAATTAACTAAGGCCATTATTAGTTTGTATGCTACTGCCCAGGTACTTTTTGCTTTTCAATATGAAGTCATCTGTAAACATGTTAAATTCAAATTTTCTTCCCTCTCCTACTCCACACCTCGAACAGGGAAAGAAGTTGTCACAAAGGTTAAGACACTCAGTGTACGTCTTTACCTGGGTACTGGGCCTGCCCAGGTGGAATCATCCTCACACACAGCCCTCCAACCCCCGTACTCGCTCCTTCCACACACTGTCAATAGTTTTCCCTTTAACCTGTTAGCTGATGCAAAAAATTATTCAGAGTTAGAAATAATACTGTAGTCTGGCCAGGATGACAGCATAGGTATACATGGCTCACCTCTTCACACAACCACATCAAAATTACAACTAAAATATAGAACAACCATCACTCAGAACCATCAGAAATAGAGTTGAATGGAAGTCTGACAACTACAGAATTAAAAAATAAACAACCCACATGCATCCAGACTGGGAGGAGGGGCAAAGACACAAAACAGGCTGGTCCCACAACCACGTGTAATAGGTAAAAATTCAGGAGGGATATCTTGGGAGTGAGGAGTCCCAGCCCACCACCAGGCCCCCCAGCCCAGGGTTCCAGTGCCAGGAAGATAAGTCCCCGTAACTTCTTGCTGTGAAGACCCTCAGTAGGGATTGAGTCAGTGGAAGAAACTTCTGGAGTCCCAAGCAGTTCCTCTTAAAGAACCCACAAACAGACTTACTCAGACTCACTCCCTCTGAGCTCCAGCACCAGGGTAGCAACTTGAAAGGCACCAGTGGCATACAGGGAGGAACTGAAGTGTCTGGCATCCAGGCAAGAGCTGCGGGACAGTTTTCTCCTAGACAGAAAGAGAGGCAGAGGCCATTGTCCCTTTTCTGAACCCTCTCCCCACAGAGCCACAGAGCTAGCAGGAGGCTGCCACATCTAAGACTCCATCAACCTGGCCATCACTGTTTCTACCACCCAACTTACAGTCCATCCAAGCTGTTAAAAGGGACTTTTCCACATGAATGGCTGGTCTTGGCTCATGCTTCACAACTTTCTAAATCCTCTCAAACAAGCAACAGCCAACCTCAGTGAACCCCCAGCTGCCCCTACCTCTTGTGAAGTGGCCCCAGGCCCAGCGCTAGCAGTAGCCAGCCTAGATTCATAGATTGGCTTCACCTGGAAATCTCCAAGCCCAGTACAATTAGCAGCCATCTCAGATTGCTTTATAGCTCAGGAACACAGGTGGGAGCTGAACTTGCCTTGCACCACTCAGGAAACCCCAGGGATAGCATACCCAGTGGACAGCTACAGACCACATCAGAGCACTACCACTCTGCCCCTGCACAGCTGGCCTTCCATGGAGGGCAGAGGTTGATGGTCAGTGGTCACAGCCAGTCCTTTCAGCTGACTGGTTTGGGCAAATCTCTTCCATTGATCTTCCAACAGCAATCAAGTCTCAACTACAAGAGGAGGGTGTACTCAGCCCACACAGAGGGTACACCTTGAGTACCTAGCTTAGGTGATAGGAGTGGCTGTGCCACTGGACCCTACAAGACACTTGCTACATTAGGCCACACTACCAAGACACAGAATCAAAGCAGCTCTACCTAATACACAGAAACAGACACAGGGAGGCTGCCAAAATGCGGAAACATGGATGAAATGAAAGAACAGATCAAAACTCCAGAAAAAGAGCTAAATGAAATAAAGATAAGCAATCTATTAGATGCAGAGTTCAAAACACTGGTTATAAGGATGCTCAAGGGACTTAGCAAGGACCTCAACAGCATAAAAAAGATCCATTCAGAAGCAAAGGATATACTAATTGAAATAAAGACCAATTTACAGGGAAATAACAATAGAGTGGATGAAGCTGAGAATCAAGCTAATGATTTGGAACATAAGGACGCAAAAAAAAAAACAAAAACAAAAAACAACAACACACAAAAAACAAGCAATCAGAATAAGAAGAAAAAAGAATCCAAAATAATGAGAATAGTGTAAGCAGCCTCTGAGACAATGTCAAGAGGTCCAACATTTGCATTATAGGGGTGCACAAAGGAGAAGAGAAAGAGCAAGAAGTTGAAAATCTATTTGAAAAAATAATAAAGGAAAACTTCCCTAATTTGGTGAAGAAAATAGACATGCAAGTCCAGGAAGTACAGAGAACCCCAAACAAGGCCCACTCTAAGACACATCATAATGAAAATGCCAAAGATAAAGATAAAGAGAGAATCTTAAAAGCAGCAGGAGAAAAGAAGTTAGTTACCTACAGGGGAGTTCCCATAAGACCGTCAGCTGATTTCTCAAAAGAAATTTTTCAGGTTAGAAGGGATTGACAAGAAATATTCAAAGTTATGAAAAGCAGGGACCTATAGCCAAGATTGCTCTACCCAGAAAGCTATCCTTTAGAATCAAAAGGCAGATAAAGAGCTTCCCAAACAAGAAAAAACTAAAAGAGTTCATCATCACTAAACCATTATTATATGAAATCTTAAGGGGCTTATTTAAGCAAAAGAAGATCAAAACTATGAACAATAAAATAGTAATAAACATATCTATCAACAATTGAACCTAAAAAACAAACTAAGCAAACAAGAACAGAGACAGAATCATCGATATGGAGAGCATTTTGATGGTTGCCAGATAGAAGGGGGTTATGGAGGAACCTGAGAAGAGGTGAGGGGACTAAGAAGTACTAACAGGTAGTTACAGAATAGCCATGGGGATGTATACTATACTGTACAGCACAGTATAGAAAATGGAGTAGCCAAAGAACTTATACGCATGTCCCATGGACATGAACAATAGTGCGGGGATTGCCTAAGGAGGGGGGGTTGCGGGGTGGAAGGGAGCAAAGGGGGGAATATTGGGACAACTCTAATAGTATAATCAATAAAATATATTTTAAAAAGATAATATTATAAATTATCCAGTCCAATCCCCTAACAAACCGTGAGAATGATTTATTAAAGGTCGCTGAATTAATAAGTGGCAGAAACAAAATTGAATTCAGGTCTCCTAAATCCAGTATGTGAGGGCTGTGGGGTTATGAATGAGAGAATGGGACGTAATGGTTTTTGTTATTCATTCAACAAAAGTATTGAACATTTACTTACTACGTGCCAGGCACTATTTTAGGTTCTGGGGATTCCGTGATGGTGATAGAGGGCGCGGAAGAGACAAAAATTCTCTGTCCTTGTGGAGCTTTCATTCTCAAAATTTAAGTAATTTGTCTCACCATCGTGGAAAACCTCTCAGTGCCCTAAGGAGGAGTGTTTGGGTCTGCTACGGGAGGGAATCCCATCCTTTCTCGTTCCTGTGCTATCTACAGCGCGAGGGCTGATTTACTGCAGCGGCCGAGAGGCGGAAACCTCGGGGGCGCCCTCTCTCGCCTCTGCACCTCCACCGCCAGGCCAGGCGGCGCCGGCTCCAGTGCGCCGCCTCACTCCACTCTAGTCTGGGATTTAGCGCCCGCTTCTCTACCCAGTCTACTTTCCCGAGAACGGCTGGAGGACAAAGAAGCCAGACCCGCCGTAGCGCCTTGCTCTGAGAAAGGACTGCGGGCGCGTGAAAATCCTTTCAAGGCAGTCGCGCTCAGTGCCTAGCGCCGCGACCTGGGAAGGGATGACCTCTCCCGGACTTGGGGGATTATGCAGCAAACTGCTCTCTCGTGCTTTCCTCAGAAATACTGCAGCCACGCGCTCTTTCCAGCCTCAGCTGGGGACACTGCAGCTTTCCCTCCCCTCCCGCCCCTCCCGCAGGCTCACACCCCAGAGCCCCACTGCAGTTTCCAAGCCATCCTCCCTTTTCTTCTCCACTTCCTGCTTGCCATGGCGACACACGTCATTTACGTGGCATGCGTCGCCTTGGAAACAGGGGAGCATCCGCGGCGCAGCTGGGAGACCCACCCCTGCCGCTCCAACCACACTCGCGGGCGCTGCCAGTTAACGGCCGAGGGGAGTCCCGAGCCCTACCCGCTACTGGCCTTGGTCTCGACCCGGGCCCCTCCGCAAATGCTTCTGTGACCCAGGGAATCGGCGAGCACTTGCTGCTCGTGGCTCCGAGAGGACGGCGCTGACACGGGCGCAGTTCCAGAGGCGAGGCAGAGCAGGGCGCCCTCGCCCCGGGGTGAGCGGGAGAGACGTCGGCCCTGGGACTCCGCTCGGGTCCTCGTCCCGCAGGCTCTTCCGAGCCTCCCCGGATCCTGCTGCTCCCTCCGCCGAGGTTCCTCTCCTCACGTCGGCTCCCCGCCCCTCTCGGAAGCCTCCTCTAACCTCAGCTCCTCCCTGTCGCTCCGGGGACCTCTCCCCCTCCCCCCTCCTCCATTCCAGGAGTCGGGCTGGGTCGGACCCACAGCGGCCACCGCCCGCTTCTGCCATTCAATGGAGGACGGTCTGCTGGAGATCATGACCAAGGACGGCGGCGACATGCCGGCACCTCTGGAGGTGTCCACCGTGCCGGCCGTTGGGGACGTGATCTCCGGCGAGTACAACGGCGGCATGAAGGAACTAATGGAGCACCTGAAGGCCCAGCTGCAGGCCCTGTTTGAGGACGTGAGGGCCATGCGGGGGGCCCTGGACGAACAGGCCTCGCACATCCAGGTGCTCTCAGACGACGTGTGCGCCAACCAGCGAGCCATTGTCTCCATGTGCCAGATTATGACCACGGCGCCCCGCCAGGGCGGCCTGGGCGTGGTCCGCGGCAAGGGTAGCTTCCCGGGCGCCCCCAAAGAGCCCGAGACCCCTTCGCCTGGAATCGAGGACAGCGCTTTACTGGGTCGCGATCCTGAGGACGAGGACGACGACGATGAAGAAGAGAAGGAAATGCCCCGCTCCTCCACACCCACTAGTCACTGTGAGGGCTCAGAGAGCCCCTGTGCCGGTCTCCTTGGGGGGGACGGGCCACTTGTGGAGCCCCTCGATCTGCCCGACATTACCCTGCTGCAGCTGGAGGGCGAGGCCTCCCTGTGAGGGGCACCGAGGGGCACTACTTTCCCGAGCTGGCTTTGGGTTTCCGAGTGCATGACGTGAGTGGACTGAACGGCGCGGTGCAGCACGCTTCCCTCCGACCGCTGCTCTGGGGGTCAGGCAGAGAGAGACTCCTTGAGGAAGGATTTCTAGGGTGAAGGACTTTGGGAGCATCGAGAATTCTTTCTGCCTAACCAAGCGAGACGTAGCAAACTGCGGAAAGGTGAGGTTCCGGGAGAGGAAGCGCCCATCTCTGGACTCCTATCCATCCCCTACCCTGCCCTTTCCCCCTCCTCAGCCAACAGGAGAACCCCTGAATTGTGTAAATAAAACTCTGCTTTTTCTATTCTGAAAAAGGACTTAGCTAGGACTATGGCAAATAGTCTCTAACGATTTACCTAGAAATTAAGGAATTGGGGCATTCTGTTCTGGCAACAGAAAATTTCCCCTTCTGCTGAAATCCAAGATATTCGGCGCTCTGCAGAAGCCTCTCCCCTCACACAGATCTTCGCGGCTGCTGATTGGTAAAGGAGGCTTGAGGAGGGAACTGCAGCCCTAGGAATCTGGGAGAATGGGGTTCCCAGGGCTCCTGGGCTAGGAGGAGCTGGCTGTGAATGTGCATGAAGACAAATAGCTCAACCTCTAGGATTTTGCATGCAGAGCGGATCCTGCCTTGTCACTGACTACATCTGGAATTGCTTTTTCCACTCACTGGGACTTAGAGAACAAAGAGCCCAGTCCACAGGCAGAGACTTGGGGGTTCTCAGCAACAGCCCAGATTTAGGGGACATTTGAGGGGCTCTTGGGGGCCGCATCCAAAAACTGTCTCTCTCCTGGCTACACCCGCTTAACTTCAGTTCCTTTTCCTTTCGATATGTCCCTGCCCACTGCCTCTCGGTCTGGCTTCCATGTCTTGTGTGTGTTACGTGTGTCCACTTGTGTAGTAGTGTGTGAGCCCTGAGGGGCAGGGCGTGTGGCTCTGGTTTTAGGTTCAGGGGGCTTCAGACCCTTCTGTGAGCCCCAGGCTACCATGGCACTTACCCCTCTCCTTCCCTCTTTCCCCCCACAGTCAGGGCATGCAGCATGTGACTGTCCTGAGGTTCTTAACTGATGTGCCTCCCACCTCCTCAAGTGGTGACTTTGTGTGCCCTTCCTCCTCCTCTGTGTATTCCTTCTCAATGCTTTTCTTGGTGTTAACCTTAATAAAGAGGCATCATCTCCCCTTCTTGCCTGCTGGTACTAGGGGGATGTCAGGGTTGGGCTTCTCGGCTCACTGCATGGACCAGGGCTCAGTGGGAACTGCAGGGACCACGTCTTCCCTCCTCTCTCCTTGCTTCTGGTTCCAAGGAGATGACCATACCTGCCCTAGTCAGAACAGGCATTGCCTACGCTTCTGCTTTCCCTTCCACCCTGGACCTTGACTCCCAGCTGGACTGGGAAAGGACAGGGTATGTGTTGAGACTCCCAAACTAACAAGGGTTTTTTAATAGCCAGAACTCCAGATGTGCAAGAGACTTCTTTTCAGTGAAGCACCTGACCCCCGCCCAAGAGATGATTTCTAAACCCAAGTCCTGAAATGGCCTGACACCTGTTTCACGGGAGGGTTCAGGAGGGGGTATTGTTTGTGAGGCATTGCTGGGGATCTCCGAGAGCCCCAGCCGAGCGACACATCACAAAGGAAACTGCAATGACTGCCTCAGCCTCCAGTGGATAATGTCTTACTCCGGGGAGCTTAGACTGACATCAGCTCTCCTCAGCTCCCTTGGGCTTCAGAGATTTCCCAAGGCTGCCCCAGAAAATCTGGAAGAAGAATAAGCTGGGGGGTGGTGTGTGTGTGTGTGAGCTTGCTGCTGGTTGCTGTGGAGAGAGCTCTGGAGTCCCGGATCTGGGCTTGAATCTCAGTTCCAGCACTGATGAATGCTTGAGATTTAGATTCTGCATTGTGTAAAATGGGGACAAAAAGTTTTGGGGGAGAAAAATATCTAAGGCTCCTGGGAAGTCTTGTGCAAATGTTAGTTGTCTTATATGTAGTTCTCTTGGAATAGGGTGGGTGGGGGAATGGTGATGACTGACTCCTCTGGGAAAACAAAATGACCTAGAGAAGGTTCTAGAAGCTCTCTGTTTATATAATCTTTCTCTGAAGAACTCTTATCCTTCAGGATAGTCAAATAAAACAGGATGGTGAGATTTCTGAGCTGACATAGGCCTTTTTATTTGTTAAAAGTTACGGGCCAAAAAGTTCTTCAGGATGACCAGAGGAAGCCTGGGTTGTGCAGTGTTTGGGGAATGTGGGCTGCGGCCTTTAAAGTGGGCCGCTAAAGTACACTGGTGGGGAAGCGTCCCTGGGAAGAAGCGGGGAGGTAGGTTCCTGTTATAGTTCCAGTATTTAGCACCAATAACAACAGTGATAGCTATCATTTATTGAGCACCTACTGTGTGCCAGACACTGCTCAATTTTGTCTCCCAACCACCATATGAAGTAGGCACTGTTGCTATTTTCACATAACAGTTCCAGAAACAGACTCCAAGCCTTGCTCAAGGTCAGATAGCTAGTACTTGGCAAAACCAGGACTTAAACCCAGGCCTTCTGACTTAAAGGACCCCTAGATTGAAACCATGCTGCTCATTGCTCTATTATTTGGATCGTCAGACAAGGAGATCCCTTATTTCCCCAATCAAGAGTAAGACTCCTGAAAAGGAAACAATGTTAGTTTTAATCACTTTTTACCTTCTCAGTTGTAACATAAAATTGCATTTCAGGTTTTGGTTAGTGACCCTTCTCAGAGTCCAGCAGGTGATAACACAGTAAAGGCACCAAGAAGATGATGTTTTAGACCTGCTCCTTGAGATGAGGATGCTGATGTCCCCAGATATCCCTGACACAGCTCCATTCTTATGCCTCTTTCCCATTCTCTGTAGCTCAGACTCTTCAGAAGCTGCCACGAATCAAGGCAGCACAGCCTTTTAGTCTCTAGAAAGATCTGATTGAGCCCTTCAACCCTGGACTCCATTTTGGTTCCCCTTCCTGTGCTCACTGTCATAAATGTGTCATCAGCCCCATAGCCCAGGCCTCCTAGAAGTACTCCACCTATTCCTTCCAAGCCTAGATAGATATAAACACCTCCAGCTTTCTCTGGCTTTTTTCAGTCACCTGCACCAGCACTACATAGGGATCCAGCACGGATTAGTCTCCCACGTCCTCCTCCCTCCCTACTGTCTACCCCTCTTGCATTTCTCCTTTGAAATGGTCCTGATTAGTGAGTTTCAGGTGAGGTTCCTAACCAGGGGTTCATGGACAGGGTCACTATTGATCTTCAAAGGGCCATAGCCCCTTAAAATTGAATGCAAAAATTATGTAAGTACGTACATTCCCTGAAGAGAATATCTTTTATTTAAACTTAATTCTTAAAGGTAAGAATTAAGTGAAAAAGAAATAATCACTGAGCTAAAGGGTAATGAGACTTTTTAACTTAAAAAAAAAACCCAAAAACCAGAGAAAAGCCCTGGTTGGTGTGGCTCCGTGGATTGAGCACCAGCCCTGTGAACCGAAGGGTCGCCAGTTCAATTCCCAATTGGGGTACATGCCGGGGTTGCAGGCCAGGTCCCCAGTGAGGGGCGTGCCAGAGGCAACCACACACTGATGTTTCTCTCCCTCTCTTTCTCCCTCCCTTTCCCTTTCTCTAAAAATAAAATCTTTAAAAAACAGATACCAGAGAAGTGATTCTGCCTGAACTAGTACTATACTGAACTGGCAATATGCCCTTGCCTCCCGGGGCCTCCAGAGTATTTCCACTGAATTGAAATCCTCACATGAACCTGATTACTCATAGCCCACTCAACAAGTTCAGATTATCTTGACACCTGTTGCAATGTGCTAAGGATCTTCTAATACTCACACTCTCACCTCTCAATGGTAAGAGAAATCTCTAAGGGCTAGCTCCTAATCTCAAAGTGCAAACACACACAACTCTGTAGAGATATGCTACAACTTTAACCTGGCACAACTAAATTCTGTTCCTGAGAAACAGTTATTTCTCGAAGAACTGCAATGTGGCCTACATAAATCTGCCTCAGCATCACCGCAGAGTGCGGTCTCTGCTTGGTGTGTACAAGGAAATAAATCGATTACCCTGAAGTTTCCCCAGAAATTAGGAACAGTTCTTTCCCAAATATATGTAAGTCTATCCTTCTTGCAAAACAGAAAACTAATTGTATCTTTGAAAAGACAGATTTTCCTAGTCATCTTTCCCCATCTACATGCCTAGGAATAGAAATTCAGCCAAGATGCTCTGATACAGCAAGAAATGATATAGAAGGACAAAAGGAGTATTCTTGACTCTTTTTATCCCAGATACCATACCCTTCCCCAACTCCCTACCCTCTTCTAGAATATTCCCAGAGGTGAATTCCCTTAGAGAAACACAGCCTTTCTGCTTGGAAGCACTGTGCTTATAGAAGGAAGCCTGCTCTGTAAATAATGCTGTGATGGTGCCACCTGGTGAGGAACAGGAGCATTACAAGGGAATCCTCAAAGGCTTGAAATTTATGGCTTTCAATTCCGTGAGCACTACTAAGTGCTTTCTAAAGGCCTGGCTCTCGGCCAGGTAGTGGGTGGTGGGGACGGAAGAGGAAATTGAATAAATAAAATGTATTTGAAGAATATAACAACCAACTGCAATAAACTAACCAGTCTCCTCCAGCCTTTTACACACCTATAATCCTAAAGATGACTCTTCCTAAATCACAGGTCTGAACATTCATTCTCAGGTATCTGCACCATGTCCCCCTTATATCCTGAATTAAATATAAAATCCAGTGGTTGGGGGGAGTTGAGGTCTTCCCTAGTATGGCCTGGAATATTTTTCACCCACACATTTAATTTCCCAGGTGCATCTTCTAGCCACCCTCTCATCAGTGGGAAGCCCCTCCCATCCAGTCAGCTAGCAATGACTCCCAAGGGCATCCCAGCTGTGCTACTCTCTGAATGGGTGGACTGGATAAGCGCCCCTGACCCTTGATTGATTTCTCTTAGTCTTCCCAAGAGAAACACATCTCTCATTCAGAAAAGGGACTTCCGCAGCCTTGGTCACCTGCACCAGCTTCTCCTGGGGCGTCCCCCAAGGCAGTTTTTACCTCTTCCCTCTCTTATGCTACCTGGAAATGGGAAATCCCCAGAAAAAAATATGCAAAGCTTTTTATTATGAATTTTTGCTTTTATTTCTAGAAACAAGTTTCATAGCTTTCATTAAATTCTTAAGTCTGTAAGGCCAAAGAAGTTAACAAACATTATAGTCCAAAGATGCTATTCACCACGTACCAGAAATGCCCATTTTTCTGACTGATTTTTTGCTCATTCTCTTTACTCTTCCTACTCCATTCCATTTCAGCCACTTGGAATCCTACCAGGTCTTTGAGCCCCTTTTCAAATGCTACTTCCTTCATGGAGCCTTTCCTAATGTGGTCTCTTTCTCCTTTAAATGCCTCCATTTTTTTTTTTGCATTTCTATTTTTCTTTAAAAAAAATTCTCACCCTAAGATATATTTTGTGATGTTAGAGAGAGAGGAAGGGGAGCAGAAAGAAAAAGAAAGAAATGTCGACATGGTAAACATTCATTGGTTGTGTCCCATATGCACCCTGACCAGGGATAGAACCCACAGCCTTTTGGTGCACGGGATGATGCTCCAGCCAAATGAGCCACCCAGGCAGGGCTACTTTTATTATTATTTATGTGCTTCTCATTCCCCTGTCCAGAGTATTAATATCTTGAGACCTAGAACTGCTCTCTCATTTTTATGGTCGCTGAAGTATTGACCTTATTTTATTGACTTTAAGGCACCATTGATTGCACATCATTACTTTAGAAAATACGTTTTAAAAATACTGCCAGTTAAACTATCACTATGCTTTCTTATCATTTACATTTTAAAGTTTCCCTCTTATTTAAAGAGCTCATGTAGACTTATTTAGAAATAAAGCCTTTATGTGTTGCTACAATGTACACAAACTTAACTAAAAGTCGTTATAGCATTCTTTTAATTTCTTCATATTGAGCCCGACACTCCTGAATTACTTATTGATTCAGAGGTGTGCATGTCTGTACTTTTCCATGGATTTATATTTTCTGGGCTATCACAGTGTTAGTAAAGCAGCATTGCTTAGAGAGAGCTTCACCATTGTCTCTGGGGATTTCTCCCAGGTCACAACACCCGTTCTGCAAGAGTTAAAGCAGAGATTTTTTTATCTTGCCAGAGTGTTCAAGGACGATGTTCAGACAAGAATAAAGTCTAATCCATTTAAATGATCTTTAAATAGTTAATTAAATGAAATAGCAAGGGCTTGCACATTTCCAGTCATGCCACCAGAATAACACCCAGGCCCAGGCATGTGCAGGCGACGACAACTATGTCATAACTGCTGCTTGGCTGACAGCAGTTGTAAGCTGACATTGAATATTGTCTGTAAGACACACCCCACTTCAGAGATGTTAAAATGTGTGTGTGTGGCAGGGGAGGGGGGTTCTGGAATCAATGAAATCAGCAGTAACAGACTTTTCTCATAGGCAGAAAATAGATATTTAATTGAGTCACAAATATATAAATGAAAAATTTTAAGATGTTAGAGCTAAGAATAAAAATAATATGTCACTGTCCTGGCTGGTGTGGCTCAGTGGATTGAGTGCTGGACTGTGAACTGAAAGGTCGCCAGTTCACTTCCCATCAGGGCACATGCCTGGGTTGCGGGCCAGGTCCTCAGCTGCAGGTGTGTGAGAGGCAACCACACACAGATGTCTCTCTCCTTCCCTTTCTCCTTCCCTCTAAAAATAAATAAATAAAATCTTTTAAAAATACATGTCACCATCTCTTAGAATCTTCAAAAATGCGATTGCTGAAAGAAAGCTTAGAGACTGCCATGTCTCAGAGATCTGATTAAATTTGGCCCAAATTTAACTTCCAAAATCTGAGAATTCCACAGCATTTCATACAATTTCTACAATGTCCTATGGTTAATTTGCTTTTGCTCCCCCCCTGCATCCACACCTGCATCCATGCAAGCTGCCTTAGCTGACTTCTTATCAACTCTAGGATACATAAAATAGCCCTTTCACT